GGCAATATCGAATCTCCAGATGAATCCTTCTAAGTGTTATTATTTCGTACGATTTATGGCTAGCTATCGATCCAGCTAGTTGCTGCAACTTCTCCTATGCCAAGGTCGTGCGACTACGATAGCTTTCCCCCTCTCGACCTCCATTGACGACAGCTTTGCGCGACTTTTTATACTGTTGGTACTCATGAAGCAGCGACTCTGTTTGGGAGCCAGTCTGTACTTACTTTCGGCACTGCGTAAATATAAGAAGGCTGCGTTGAGGGTTATTCCTTGTCCACTCAATACCCCATCCATTTTCCCTGGAACTATTCGGTGTATGCACTCGAGCGCATGCCGCGCTGCCTGCGATGTCGGGACTATGATGACCGGGCGCTGGCCAGCCCTATTTGATTCTATGCCCCTCGAATCACCACTGTCGCCACCTTTTTTCGTAACAACTGCGTACAGTCACCGTTATCAGCATTATCACGATTATTGCACAAACTAACCTATACTGGGTCGTCGTCCGAGAGCCTCTTTGCCTAGGGGGGACATTGTTGAAGATGTACATATCATTTAAACTGATGGTCAACAACACTGTACGACGTAGAAAAGGCGATATGGAAAAAGGCTAAGTTTAATACCGGGCAACTGTGTACAACGGATCACCATGGGAAAACGCAGGTCGTTATAATATAGTCAGCAAAATCGATGCCACACGACGGCAATACCAACAGCAGTAGTAGCACCTCTAACCGGCTAAAATAATCATAACAAGCAGATCTTCCATTGTTTAGCTTACGGCCATCCATTCTTCGTTACGAACAAATCGGAGCGGTCGCCAGTGTTATGATTACGACTCATTTTGTTGGCCTCGGCGCTGACCCACTTATGATAGGTGACAAGGTAGCGACCTCAGGCTTGTTGCCTCGACTAGCCCCCGGTAGGTGTCGGAATGGACGAAGTGAAAAGAAGGCCAGCATGGAACGAGTGAGTGGGGTTAGCAGGATGGACACGCTTATGGTGGTAGCTGAAACAACGCCCGCGGGAGCTGGAGAGTTACCAGGGGGGGGGGGGGGGTATTTCGGCTACATGAAGCTTGCGTATCTGCTGTGGCGGGCTAGGGCAGAAATTGATGGGTGTTATTCGATAATTCGAATGCAAACTATATCGACCAATATATTTTTATTGCCCGTAAGCTCTTTCCCTATGCTGTGTATGCGTGGATGTTTGCCGTTCATTGATTCGTTGGCTGGATCATTGTCTAACTTGCAACCAAAACAGTAGAGCTTCAGGCAAAAGATGACTCTCTCATTTTGTTCATTATAATATGATATAATAACTGACTTTAGGTCAGCTTTGGTCGAGCTCACTTGCATGCTCTCAGCCTACTCTGCCATAATAGTTAACGTTATAAATAAGTGTATGTATATGCATTCCATCATCGAGAACAGAACCTATCATAGTAGTTAATGGAATATTTTTTCATTGCCGACACGATTCTAGGTACAGACGCAGGCCAAAGGTAGAAAGGATAACCGAATAAATTCAATAATAAATTATTTTGTTTGTGGCCAAAGCTGTCAATATATGGGGCTGTGTATTCCATAGTTTATAACGAGATCCCACGCATCTCAAGACTAATGTCAAGGATGATGATGGTGGCGGTAGTGACGAGCCAAGCGATAACCTTGATCATTGCGCCGTTTACGTATACTAACATGAAGCCAAGTATAGACGCTAGCTTGCGCGCCAACATTATATTCTGCACTTCGTCATTATACGATGAGAAAGGCACAGTATGTAATTAAACCAGCATACAGCATCGTATAAATTATGGGATAAGAGCCGCTGCAACTGATGTAGATGGGAAGCGAACCGCTCCATTTCGGCCGGTATCCTATAAATTCTAGCATATTTCTTGTTATTTAAGCTTCTCCTCACGCCCATGTTTTTTCTCTTAAGTATGCATCCGAATTACAGACGGTTTACAGTGTCGTAGATCCTATCTGTACCGAACGATCGTCCAATGGTGCCTCACCGACGAATAGTCATCCTTTCTTACCCACGATTCTCGTCTGAAATGGAGTTACTCAGCGGTCTGGTATTTTATATGTTTTTACAGCGTACGCCAATCAATGCACCCACAGCAGAAAAGCTGACAGCTGCAGGAGCGATGCAGTCACTATAACTTCACTGCAACTCTGCATTTATCGTATACCACTTCAGTGCCCACCGGCTGCCTCTGGCTGTGCTGAAGGGGCTGTTGTTATTTCTGCTGGTGGCCTTCTTAACTCGGTCCGCGTGAGCGGACCAGTCGACCCCAGCTGAATCACTACTGCTACTGCTGGAACTATAACGCTGCCGCTAGAGGTGCTGGAAACACACGCGAACCGAGAGGCCGTCATGCGAAGGCACACGAAGCCAGCTGGGGCCTGCCATGCCTCCATGCTTGTAACCCAAGCCTCACCGCGAAAGCAGGCGTTAGCAAAGTCCATAAGTGTACTTCGTACTTGCCTTCAATTCTATTTTACAGGCCAAGCGGCATCTGCGGCCAATAGGTGAGTAAGAAAAAGTCATGTTCTCTCTTTTCTTCTCTTTCTTTCTCTCTGCCGATTTCTCGGGAAGAAAACGAAGCTGACCTAGACAAGTTATACCGATACCCCTACCATTCAAGTAGCGGAGCTGGCAGCCGGAGCTGCGCTTGCAGCAACCGCAGCGGCCCCCAAAAGCAACGTCAGGAATAGAGCGGGCTGAAGAGATGGGGTAATGGCCTCAACGAGGGTGAAGGCAACGGCAACGAAGGGACAGTAGAGAACGGGCGGACGGCTGTAGGAGGAGGGCGTGGGGTGAGGGGTTTCGGCCTGAAGACGAATAACGAATGGATATACATACTTAGGAAGCGAAGAGTAGTGGACCTACGCATCTGTAATGCACAGGGAAATAGAGGACATCGATCCGTTCACTGCTGTCCGCGTACCATCCAAGCTGGCGATCCTACTGTTGCCCATGATGGTCAACATGCTAGAACAACAGCAGCTGTGGCAGATCTCGCCCCAAGGGCTAATAGCTATTCAAGTATTGTATGGCCGACAAACAGACAAACTGGTTTTCTGCCCAAATAGCGAAACAATACGCGTCAAATAGAAGAGAAGCGTATATTATCAAAAAGGCTTGAGTTGGGGTAAGTGAAAGTGTAAAGGTCTATGTGATGAACTAGTTATTCAATAAAGATCAAAGTCTTCTAAAGGACAAGCTGGGATGAAAATAGGAGACTTTCAAAAACTGGCTTTTCGCAACCCTCAACGGTATAATGAATAAAGCAGGTTCATCATATACCACACAGAAAAGATGTTCTATTGAACGACCAGAGTCGTTCACCCAATTGGACTGCCGAAGCATAATTAAACATGCTTTAGCAAGCAATCAGCACTAGGAAACACAGGCCACGTAAACCCTGTTCTCGACAGCCTGCTATGCGTCTTATATTATAGCTGTTCATAAGGACCTACCAATGAGTTCCTGTCTTGGCTTCCACTTAAATAATCCAGGCTTATAACTTTCTATATACAGCGTGTTTGCAACGAGACAGATTTCCTCGACTTAATAAGAGCTTTTGAGAGATCGACAGAAAGGTATCAAAAATAAGAACAAAAAATTTACTGGCTTCATACATCACCAATATAATTTTCTACGGCAAGTGCTGGCTGGAAATCTGTAATCCATGTTAGATCCTATGTTACATATTTGCACTTATTAGGCTGAGTAAAAGTAAACTATGCAAGACAAGAATAGATGAGCGTACATCATTAGGAATACCCATGAACGTCAGACTCTACCGCTCGTTTGGTCCAAGCAAGAGTACCGTTTCTGCTCGCTTGCTGGCCTGCCTATATCTTCGATGCTCATTCAGTGAACAATGCAGAAGGCATGAGGAGCACGAGGCCTTAGCGCAAGGTTAGGGGACTTTCCCTGACGCATCTATCAGGCCGTTCGCTAGCGCCACCTTGAACAGAATGACTCGCTTATTTGATCCTCTTGGGAAGAAGAGGAAGCAGGCATTTAGTAAGTACTGACGACGAACGCATTTTTTTCGCTCACCCGTTCTCACATTTGACGTAGCAATAGACTAGTATTGCGATGCTTTTTTTCGCGTAGTTTCTATCATAGACGCAGTTGTTGAATCGATGAAACTGTTTTGTCAAAATGAGCTTTATCCGGTTTACCTCAACGAGCACCACTTGTATATACATATATAAGATATAAGTGGTGCTGCGTCTACATAATACTAATATTAGTCAAAGAGTGGTTGTTCATAAAAGCATAAGTTAAACATTTTTCACGACCTAGTTCGTGCTCCTCCTGGTTGCGTGGTCCAAACCCATTCTTACCGGTTCTCTCTACCTATGGACTTCCCATCTAGCAGCTAGGATTCGTAACCTTTAACCTTTATAGGAATCGTCTGTTTCAAATTCGGGTCAACTAAATTTAGTTGCGGCTATTTTTTCGGACCCACACAGTTTGAATCGAACCGCGAATAACGTAGCTGACCGCGGATCGTCAGAAGGTCGGAGGAACAAAGCGCGCTATCTAACGAACAAAAACGGAAGATTTGCTTGCAATAGGATACATATATCGGGCGCAGAACGGCTAGAAAGCAGCACACTTGATTGTAACCCATCAATCCAGACCATTCGATCAGTCGGACAGATTCCTTGTCGGTCTCCCATAGGCGTCCGGCCAGTGGGAAGGACTGTTGTTATGGATCCAAGTAGCCATTGGGAACCGGCAAACCGAGGCAAAACAGCAATTGACTGGCATCCACAAGAAGTAAGCAGTAAAACGTCGAATCCTTGTTGATTTATTTATAATTTTTAGGCTTTTACATAGTACGATCTTACAGTTTCAGACTAAGCCACGTAAATAAACACCGGCTGTTTTTTTCCCTCTTAAATGCACGCACACAGCTCAATGCTGTCTTTTGCTTTGACTTCTTTTTGCCCGTTTCAATTCGTACTTACATCATCGCACGTAGTGAATTGCACAGCACGGCCGTTGCGATCATGCCGTGGTTCCTGCAGCTGTAACGTGACGTCGTCGCTCACATGGAAATCCTGCGGATGGGCATGAGCAGCAGGGCCGAACGGGATCTGGAATCCTCAATACGGTAGGTCGTACCGCGCGAGCCACAATGCATGGCCACAGCACTCCCTTGGGACAGCACAAAAAAAAACACAGATATTTGTACACTTTCGCACGAATGGCACGCACCTTAAGCTCGTATTTGATGTGGCGGAATACTAACTCTTGTACTGATGGTAACAATGATCAGATTTTTACTCTAGCAGCCTCGTTTCATTCTATGTACGAACTAGTAAAGATTCTATGGGGGTAACATCAGCACAAAAATGCCGATCGTCACTGGTTCCTACCCGCGTTCAGCAATGATTAATGGTCGCGTTATGATCGTTGATTGGTAGCGCTTCTATTTTAATTGCACTCGATTCGTTCACGGATCACCATTAGCTAGTTAGTCAATCTCGTCTTCATTACTATCTGTGTTAGCTTGCTTCCAATTGTAGTAATAGCAATAACAACAATAGTTTATTGAATTGTCGTGTGTTCTTTTAAGTCGTCTTGGTCGTGGTCGTGCTTGTGCTCGTGCCCGTGCTCGTGCTTGTGTAGGCACTACTGTTGAGTAGAAATATCCAAGAAGCGGCGGCGACGGTAACGGCTGCAGCGATGAACCCACTTTTTCACCAACACAAACAGCAAGAATAATATGCTTCTCGATAATGATTATCAGAGGTTCGTATGATCAGACGGCAAGATGACCACGGCGACGATCAGCCACTGTTCAACACATAGCTCTGGGAGACGATACGATGGGACTACGACCCGCTGAGTAGCGGGGCGCGCGGAGACACAGTTCCGCCTATATTATGCTAGTCCACCAAGCAGTCACTCAACTATTGCTATCCAGAAACAGTTAATTTTGTGATACGCACGCACACCAACAAACACGCACAAGTCAAGCACAGCACGGGATAGGACGGTAGCGATGGCGGTAAAGGTAGAACCAAGGCGAGGCAAAGCGCCCCACTTGTCAAGCGGCGTTGTTAACAATGGAAGCGACCTACTCCTTTGTTCGGCTCATCGACTCATGTTTAACAGCGGTAGGCCACAGCGAAGGTGCTTGCTACTTGCCTGGGTAGTTAGATAGAGATGCTTCGGATTAGGCTCAACACTGCTTGGATTTTCAGTTGTCGGCGCGGTGAATTTCGCTTTTCGCTTAGCTCTAGGTTATCTTACTGTTCGCTTCCCCGTTACCGTTGCTGGTGGTAGACGGTGTTTGTGGAGGGAGGCCATCATGTCGCCTGCCTGGTGCCTCTTTCCTACGGAGCGCGGTCCGCCCTCGTGCTCCACCGGTCTCCGCGGAGCACCCCAATCTTCACCCTTAGTGCTTACTTCTCCCCACACCCCCTGTTTGCCACTGCTGCTTAGCGCAAACGCACTGTCATTGCTTCTAAGCGAACAGAACCTTTAAGCGCCACTATCGCGGCACTTACCCAGAGCTTACCGCCTGCCTTGCATTGACCAACCGACTACAACCCGCCACCATTACCCCGTATCCTTGTGGAGGAGCAGTGAGCAGCAGAGGAGAAGCTAGCCCGCGTACTTCCCTCTCTCCGCATCCCCCCCCGGGAGCTTTGCTATCAGACCCCTCCTTTTTCGGGCTTCAGCTACCTCAAGTAGAGCATCTTAGCCGGCTGCACTATCTCTCTGAGTTTGCTTGCCAACTAACAATGACGCGGACGACGCCTGTGCCGGTAGGCGTCTCGTCTACTGTCCACAAAAGCAGCAGTGGCAGCAGCGGCCATTCCAGCGTCCTCACGCTCGTCTGCCAGAGCAGCTCAACGAGGACACCGGCGACACTGACCTCAGTTATAGACCGAGCGGACCTTAGGCGAGACAGCACGCTGCACCTGAATACTATATACACTCACGGTCCACTGTGTTCCTTCATCTGTGTCTCTGTTGGTGGGGGGTGTATCTACTTTTTGCCTCTCGCGACTGCCACCATCCTCCGACACTCCCTGGCGCTGCCCGCCATGTTCACTGCAAGTTTAACAGCAAAGGGAGCGAAAGGGATATCCGGCGAACGGAGCCAAAAGCATGCGGCACGGCCTTAAAGCCTATCGGCCTATCCGAGCACTGCGCGCTGCCGTCGTGCATGCTTGACATGCACGCGCAACCAGCGACCGGCGCGGCGCTGTCAGCGCCAAGCAGGCCGGCTCATGGCAGCTCGCATTTCAGCTCTTCGGAAGCACAAGCTCCCGCCATCATCGAAACAGGGCGAACGAGAGAAAGCATGACAAATAATCGAAGAGCGTTCAATGGAGAACCAATAAGTCGATAAGATTAGAAACACATATATTTTCAAAAGCATACACGAGCCAAATACGAACTAAAAATAACTGCAAACAATAAGATTCATGTGTTTTACAACTCTATGTATGCAGAAATCGCCCAATGATTAGGGGAGACGTGTTTATTTGTGCTTTTTATTGTATACGTTTGAATCTATGTCTATAGCTTAGGTGCTTTTATTTTTTTTTTACTTATCATGTAAGGTGTATAGTGTTCTTTATTAATATTTGTAATAAGTTTACCGTTAATTAAAAAATGCCATACCGAAGCTCCTCTACAAACTTAGATCTTATCTTAAATCGTATGAGAAATTTGCTCTTCATAGTTGGACTAAATAGTTTTTGCTGTTTATCGTGAAATCGAGTAGATCCGAATCGCTTAGAGCAAGTGTCAATAAAGCTTGGCAATGCTCTCACTGAACTGTTGCTTGAAAAGGGTGTTCAATACGACCTGGTCGACAATTTCTATCCCTAATGGAAAAGGACGGAAAATTCAGCACGGAACGGACTGATAAATATACTTTTTATGATTAGAATAGAAATAGATAAGCTTCAGATTCGCGGTGTTTAACTATTAACTTTCGTGAAAAATCGAGCACATTTGAATAGACTTGATTTCAAGTTGTCCTAAATGTCCGTAAATGTAAGCCCTTACAAGATGAACCTGCAATGTTATTAAAGGTGTCCTCTACTTACCTGTGCCATTAGACATTTCAGCCAGAAGCCTACGGCGTACCCTAAGCCGCCGCGGTATCCTTATCGCTCAAATTTATCAAGCACGAGTATCAATTATAATATTACTAGCGTACCTCATGAGTACTGATGTGTTCCGATTATTCGATGGTCATCGATTGACTGAAATCTTTAAATAAACTTAGTTTTTCTACATACGACAACTATCTATTTCAGCCCATTTAGAAAATGATTGGGGTACGATTTCTAGCATAGACAACAACGTAGATAACGACTCGTCATCACTGGTTATCTGGACCGTTAGATAACACCCTGCTATTCTTTAACGCACGATAGCGTTCAACGACGGTTAACTTCACTGCCCAAGAAAATGGCTGTACGGTATACGATGTCCGTCGTTTCAGCAATAGATTTTCTAATTCCAGTGTATTTGAACACGGTTTACCGTGTTACGGCCATGACAACAGAGTGGCTGTTACGGATATCGCTGTTGGTGCTGTTGCTACGGCCGCCAGCCAGCAGGTATTTATTCTTCCAAGATAGTGTTTTGTGGCGACGATGACGACGTTGGGGCATCGGGTGATAAGGCACGATTCCAATGGCCAATGGCTTTATCCGTTAAACAGCGAGGGCAAGGAAACCTCCCGCTTAAAATACTGAGTCATGGCCATCTTAACCAGGACAACAACGAGGCGGCATCCAACGATGACGACAATAATGGTAACCATACGAGTTCTTTTCATTCACCTTGTAGAACAGTGGTACGCTGCTGCGACGATGCTGTTCACCCGTCAACTCGAATTTCTGGCGTCGTTTTTGCAATCAGAAAAATGAGAAGATTTTTTTAAACAGAAAATATTGAAAGATCGTGGCAACTTCTCATAGTAAATTTGCTAAATGAACAGATCTACATGATAAAATAACGATTCGTATAAAAAATTCCATGTTCTAGCTAAACATAGAAAGGTCGCATATATACGGACTAACCACTGATTATGAGCAGACTAAAAGGGTACATCAAAAATTACATTAAGACTGAATGATGACCTATTCGGTTATAAAACAGGACGTGTTAGGAATGCTTATATAGGCTTTATTGTTGTCACCTGCAGGACTGCCGCCAGCAGGACTAGTCGTATTGGTAGATACGTTTATTCTGTCCTGCGAAATAGCTCCCTCACTTGTAAGTAAATATTCGAAATTCAGCATCTGCTACCGCGTTGGATAAGCATTACTTGAGACGGCGCAAGAACTCGCAACGAAGCGTGTTCTTGGACCTAGATCATTTTGTGTAGCTAAATTTAATATTATAGAGCCACTAAAGAGACCTAATTTCTAAATTTCAATCAGACACATCTAGGATCGGCGACCGTGCGCGGTAATCGGTCATCATTTACAAGGTTTGGTCGAGGTTTATTCCGAAATGTATCCCTTATTAAAAAAAAAAACACAACTGCAGCCCAATAAGCAAAAAGTATCTAAACGACTGGCACAATATGCCTAAATCATCTAGGTAGTCGGTCGATGCTAACTTGTGCGCGACATAAAATTGATCCATTTTTGGCCGACGGATTTGTACGAAGACCTACTCTTGAATTCGTTTGCAGAGGCTTATCGTTCCTTCTAGTGAGACGGCTCTTACAAAAACGCTATACAAAGTAAACACTAACGCCCTAGCATGGAATAAAAAGTAGCTTACTAATGCTAGCACAATTAATCGACGCTATCTATATGGGATACTATAAACAGCGACGAGCTCCCCATAGGCGAACATTAAGAACGTAACTTCTCGTTTAGTTCTTTCGATCTTTTTTTTTTTGCTTGTTTACCTGATAGTTACCAAGTTTACCGTTCTATCAAGTTTATTTCTCTAAATTATAATGCCTAGAATAAAAACAACTCTGTTTAAATAAAAATCTTTGAAAACTTGTCTTTGACAGGCAATTTCTTCTCCAGTTTTCATCACTCAAATGACACGAATAAACTTATCTACTACTTTTTTAATAGCATACAATTAGTAGCTACTTGAATGTGGGAAGCTTCTCCAATTGAGTCAGCAGCTGATTGTGCGAAGTATTTGACTAATTGAAATAGATGGGGTTATTCTATATGCTAAGAAGGCCCACTGGGGTATGAGCTACTGCGCCACGGGCAAGAGCTGTGTGGGAGGTCTGACAACTTTCTGCAAGCGCAACTTTATAAGAAGTGCGGGGGCAGAACGGATAATGGTGCTAAGGCAAGACGGCCAAAAAGAACAGAATTAGGATTTCTTCAGGTCCCTCAGGGTACAAACAGACTTTGGACCATCACACGGTACGACAAAGACTCACCAGTCGAAATTTAATCCGTGCATATAGATGCGCGGATTCAATTTTCTGTTCGTTTATCTGTAAGACTCCCTGTCGTTATTGACCTGAAACAAGTAAGAGTCAAGCACTACTTCCCGTCATGCTGAGATTTACCGACCTGTTCTTATTGTATCAAACTTTTATAAAAGCGTATACGTACCCTTCGCCTAAAAGGTGTCCTTCCTGCGATGAACTAATGAGTGAGCTAGATGTAACCTCGTTAATGGCCTAATTTTCTAGACTTATGAGTTACCGATATTGGGTCGCTTCTTTTGAACCGACCATTATAAAGAAAGTTGCGTTTCGGTCTTTGATGAACACGCTCGTCTTCCTAAGTTCTAGATAAGGCTCTCGAATATTAGAGCGAATCTTTAGAGGGTATTGACAGTTAAGGCTGTTAGCCCTAATCCAAGCAAATAACGACCAATTTCGAAACAGGTATGCTTATAGACTAGAGTACAATAGGTCTATTATCCAGGGGTAGTGAAACAGTGTTTTTTTTTTCAGCTAAAAGAAGTTATGCTACAGCACATCACTGGACAAAAAAAAAACAGACAACCAACCATATACAACTGTGCTATTAATACCTGTCGACAATGTTCTTTTTTTCCACATTGGCGGTAAATGGCAGGTCTGACCCAGTTACGACTGCCGAACATCAACAGTTATTTGGTCGCGATGTTCTAGCGTGACACATATGGAATACTGTGAATTTATTGAGACGCAAGCAAAATGCCGGCGTCCATTTGAATTTTCGTTTAGTCTAGTCGGTCCTTTAAACTCCACTACTTCCTCATTAATCTCGGTTTCTATCTCAAGCAGAACGCCATGGCTAGACAAACACCACACACGGCTCCTGTCAACGAATAGCAACAACGACAGCTCAGGTAAGAAACAGTAATTAGTTCGTAGTTGGGGAGCTCATCTACGGAGCTGAATTGTCATCGACGATAGAAGTTCAGGTCAACTCCAAAATAATTGCTATATTGCCTGTCAAACCACATCATCTAGTTGCTGGCCTATCTATCAAGAATCGTGCATCATACTGAATATCGTGCATTTCACTGTGTCACCCCTTTTCAATAATCCTGGTGATTAATCCTAATGACCTTTATGAGGGCGCTAGTAGCAACCTTGTCTACGAATATTTTTTTTTTATATAAACCTTTGCTCATTGTTCTCCTGACAAGATAGTCACGTATGTCGTAGTTCAAATTCCAGGTAGAATCCGAACCGATCGGATTGATACAGCTCTGGCGGTCACGTTTACTGTGACCTATTTGTTATTTCTAATCAATGCATCTAATCATAGTATGGGCATCAGAATGACGTAATTGTTGACCACAATTCTGTTCAGAGCATCAACAGTGAACGTTGCCTTTTTT